AAAAAAAAAAAAAAAGGACCACAGCCCATATGGAAGGAGAGACAGCAATGTGGGGGCTTACGGCAATGGCATAGCCTGTCAGCAGGATCAGGATGATCAGCAGAAAGCCTGACACCTCGTCCCAGGCTCGGCTCAGTGTCCTGCTGATGACCCACAGCCTGGGGCTATGACGCAGCAAGTTCCATAACTGAACAGTTGCCAGCAGAACCAGGAAGCCCACGAGATGGGTTGCAGCAGAGTTCACTTTTACTGCCTCATAGAAGCTGATGAACCTGCACCAAAGAAAGCTGACAGTTACTGAGCAAGAAGACTCTGCGCCTGTACCACAGTCACAGTTTCCCCAGCGCCCCTCCTGCTGAGCGCAGCAGCCCTGAGTCCTATGAGATGGAATGCTGGTTGATATGAGAACTGCTTTCTAGTGTGGTCTCCTGTGAGTTGTGGATATGGGAATAACAAAAGGCCATGTATTATTCAAATGATCTGCCTGCTGCAGATGGCACTGGGAGCTGTGCTGAAGAAACCTTAAAATGTGACCTCTAGCTGATTTTTTAAAATTCATCCTGGGAAGCAAAACCAGCCTCCTGCACTGCTCTGAGCCAAATCTCTCCTCTCAAAAGGAGATTAACTTAACCCAGAGAGAGTAGCCTGCTGGTCTGTTTTCTGCGGCACACTAATCCTGTGTTGTTCTCTGGCAGTACAGGATTGATGTAATAGGTTTGATAATGCTTAGAACAAAATGATGGACGGTAGACTAGAGGCGAGGGGTGTTGCTCAACAATTAGGTTTTCTTTTATGAGACATACATTCATAATTTTAGGTTGCAGCAACCAGGTGACTTGGAAGGACCCCCACAGACACTAGCAAGCGGTGCTCTGCACAGACACAGTCCCTGCATAAACTACTCTCCATAATGCCTACTTGAAACAGTGCCTCAGGAAAAGTTACACAGATCACTGCCCAGGCTGTTGAAAAGCTTAGCAAAGCGTCACTTGGCAACACTTGCTGTGGGAAACACACAGATGTTTCTCTCCATGGGAAAAACCAGAGAAGGCAACCAAAGGGGCGCCAAACATCTCTTGGTATGGATGACTGAATAGATGAAATCCCTACCCAGAAAGCAACTCCCTTTGAATTTAAAGGATGGACTACGTGTTGTGCTTTCATTTAAAGGATTATTTGTCATGCATCAGGCTTTATGCCTTTGCCAGAATGCAAAATAATGACCAATTCCAGGCCTTTATGAAACTTAAATGTATTATCCCTAAGCACTAATGAAGGCAGAAGAGCTCTTCAATGTGACTAGCAGTTAAATGGTTTCTAGTTCATTGTGTTCATTTTTTCAGACAGTTTTGCTTTTGTTGCCCAAGCTGGAGTGCAATGGCATGATCCTGGCTCACTGTAACCTCTGCCCCCCAGATTCAAGTGATTCTCCTGCTTCAGCATCCCGAGTAGCTGGGACTACAGGCATCTGCCACCATGCCCAGCATAGAGATGGGGTTTCTCCACATTGGTCAGGCTGGTCCAACTTCTGACCTCAGGTGATTTACCCGCCTTGGCTTCCCAAAGTGCTGGGATTACAGGTGTCAGCCACTACGCCCAGCCTAGTTCATTGTTTTCCCTGCTGTGGACATGAATCCAAGTTCTGTTTTAACTCTGATATTATACAAATACAGATCTGGTAGACCAGTGAAGGAAGGGGAGTTTAAAAGAATACTTGTGTATAACCTGGAAACTTTAGAAATGAGGTAGGAGTATCCTATGCCCCTCAGGCTTCCTCTTACCTGTCCCGGTCATGGTGGTATTGTTCCATGTTTTTCTTATGTAGAGAAATACTCTTCATGTCAAGCCCCAGGATGATGAAGCTAATGAGGATTATACTTGTGTCCAGAATGTTTCTTTTCCTGGTGAAGAACCTCCACTTTTGCCGTTTTAGCCGACAACCCTAAACACAGACAGCAAGGTCACCATTACTGGTCTAAGAGATTAGCTAGGTTGCTCCCTGCTCCAGTGTAACAAGCGCAGCTGATGTCTATGGGCCAAGCACGCTGCGAGGCATTTATCAGCTCTCACCTAGACAAACGAGTTATGGTCTTAGTTCAGCTCTGTAGTCATTCAGAAATGCCACTTACAGAAAAGTTGGCTTCTAATACAACTTCCACTGAATACATTTATTCTTTTTCTTGGAGATCATAAGCCTGTCACTTAAATAATACAAGTTTCTTTCTTTGAGACAGGGTCTTGCTTTGTGGCCCAGGCTGGAGTGCAGTGGTGTGATCATAGCTCACTGCAGGCTCAACCTCTCAGGCTCAGGCTCAGGCTCAAGCAATCCTCCCACCTCAGCCTCCTGAGTAGCTGGGACCACAGGCACATGCCACCATGCCCAGCCAAGTTTTGTATTTTTTTGTAGAGACAGTGTTTTGACATTTTGCCCAGGCTAGTCTCAAACTCCTGGCTTGAAGTGATCTGCCCACTTCAGCCTCCCAAAGTGCTGGGATTACAGGCATGAGCCACCATGGCCAGCAGAAGTTTCTAAACTAGTTATTAAGCCTGAGACTGAAGAAAAAAATACTATGTTTGGCTTAAGATATAAATATATTTTCTTGTGAGTGTAATCGTTTTTTTTTTTTTTTTGAGACGGAGTTTCGCCCTTGTCACCCAGGCTGGACTACAGTGGCACCATCTGGGCTTACTGCAACCTCCACCCCTAAGGTTCAAGCAATTCTCCTGACTCAGCCTACTGAGTAGGCGGGACTTCAGGAGCCCACCACCACACCCAGCGGATTTTTGTATTTTTAGTAGAGACGGGGTTTCGCCATGTTGGCCAGGCTTGTCCTGAACTCCTGACCTCAGTTGATCCACCCGCCTCAGCCTCCCAATGTGCTGGGATTACAGATGTGAGCCATTATGCTCAGCCAATCATTTGTATTTTTGAGTGCTTGCCGTTTGTTCATCATAATTGCTTGATATTACTTTATATAGGGCTAATAAAACTATAAAAGTACTATTTCTACAGACTAAATTCTTTAGCACCTGAAATTTGCAAGAGCTAATCTATTTGGTGGAAAACCAGTCAGCCTTTAACTGAATTCAAGTTTCTGAAAAGGACCAAAATCATCACCATAATTCTAGTAACAGGTCATTGTGGAGCTCCCCAAATAAAATGTGGCAACCTTTATTTCTCACATCTAACATCATCATCATCGTCATCATCATCATTTTTGAGACAGGGTCTTGCTCTGTGGCCCAGGCTAAAATACAGTGGCGTGATCTTGGCTCACTGCAACCTCTGCCTCCTAAGCTCAAGTGATTGTCCCATCTCAGCCTCCGGAGTAGCTGGGACCACAGGTGTGTACCACCACACCTGGGTAATTTTTGTAGTTTGGTAAAGACAAGGTTTTGCCACATTGCCCAGGCTGACATCTAACATTACTGACTCACCTGTATGAAGGCATAGTAACAGATCAGTAGATAATAGATGACTTGTGAGATGACAGACCAGACAAAGCCCTTCTTTGACATCTGAAGGGAAGTGAAGCTTTCCAGTCTCACAGAGGTGAAGAAAGCACCTGATAATAACAAAGAACATCTGGAGTCAAGCGTCTAAAACTTTTGCCCTCTTGTCATTACACTTGTATTTGAATAACCCCAACTCTTCCTATATCATCAATTCAAATGTTTCTGAGTTCAATGCTCCACTTAGTATTTCCTTTAGAGCTGTTATGAACATTAAATGAGATCACATATGCAAAACTACTGGAGAAATACCGGTTTCACAAAAGTCAGTAGCAGGAAAGGATATGCTGTTGATCCTGCCTTGCAAGGGAGGTGTCAGTGGCTTAACACTTGTTATAGATGTCACCCTAACCCAGTCGGAATGGCTGTAGAGAAGTCTAAAGCACAGAGATAGCCCATGACTACCGATAGTATCCCATGGATACTCAGTCATTTACATAAGGATGGACTAAAAGGCTTCAGCCTCCACGTGGAAGGACGGTGAAAAAATTCAAATTTATAAAATCATGAAAGGTCTTATGAATGTAAACTTTCATAAAGCTTCAAAATATTAGTGATGGCAGCAGCAGGCTGTCTGGAGTGGCTGCTGCCATGACAGCTGCTGCAGTGGGGGAGGCGTGGCCAGGGCTGTGTGCTCCATTGAGCTGCAGGAGCCAGTAACTGGTGGGAGACCTGCCCCCTTCTGAGCTGGAGGGTTGGGAGCCCCACCCTCCTGGGTGCAGTTGTAGCTGCCCAGCCATGGCTGCAGACTGGCCATCCCTGCTCCCACTGCATGGCTGCTCCCCACTCCCCTCATCTGCTCTGATTTTGGAGCAAAGTTTTGGCAGAGCCTCAGGATTACCAAGACCCAGACAGGTGTGTGTGCGCTCCGGGCAGTGCTAACACACAGCCCCCTACTGTCTCAGCCCTCTCTGAACTTTGGGCACTGACAAGCATGAGAGGGAGGGTGGGCAAGGTGGGGGGCGAAGGGCAGCTTGGCATGGGCCTGCAGGTGCCCCTTGGCACAGACAGCCTGGGCACCATGGGTTGACATGGATGCTGGCAGGAAGCAGACAGGCTCCTGAGTGGAAAGGGGCAGGTCCCCAGTACAGCCCCACCTTCAAGCCAGGGGCCTGGCTGCCAGTTCAGGAACCTGGCACTTTCACCAACTGGAGTGAGAACTTAAGACACTTTTTGTGGGTCCACTCATGGCTGCACATTGACCGATGAGCACACGCTCCCTTCTGAAGCCCATAAAAATTCCGGACTCAGCCAGACTTGGGCGGACAGCAGATAGGAGCTACCCACTCCAGTCTCCTGAAAACTGTTTTGCCACTCAGTGAAGCTCCCCTCCACCTCTCTCACCCTCCAGTTGTCTGTGTACCTCGTTCTTCCTGGATGCAGGACAAAAACCCGGGACCCGCCAAGTGGTGGGACTGAGAAAGCATAGCACCAACAGGGCTGAAACACACCCCTCGCGGGCCATGTTGCAGGCAATGAGAAGGAGAGAAGAGCTGCAGCCCTTTGGGGAAGCCCAGACCCATGGGCTCCCTGAGCCAGGGCTGTGACACCCTCTTTGGGCCTCTGTGGTTCTTGGCATCTCCAAACTTCTGGCCACCATGGTGTTTCTCTCATTCAGAGGTGGGTACCCACAGTGGAAACCACGTGCAGCACATGTGGTCCAACTGTAGCCTCGCAGGGAGCTGGCACCTGTGCCAGCACATAGAGATGCTCACCTCTCTGCAGCAGCCAGCATGCGGGGCTGTGTGCAGTGGCTGGACCCCACGATTGCTCACCCATATATCCCTTTGCTGCTCTGTGCCTGGGTCTCCCTTGGCAGGTGTGGGATCCAGGCCGGTAGCATGAGTCAAGTGCAGCCTGCCAGGCCAAGTGGGCAGAAGGAGCCCAGTGGATGCAAGCAATACTCAGGCAGAAGGTGCTGCTGGCCACAGAAGTTTCTGGATGGCAAAGCCACACCCTAAGGATGCCATGACATTAAAACTCAGATGTACCTCTTGTAGGTAGAAAAGACATTTAAGAACAAAAGGAATTCCTATTTCACCTAGCTAGCTCTCAAGACTTAAGCCCTGTCTCTTTTTTGATAGTAACCAACAATAAAAACCCCGTGAAGACCCTCAGGAAACCTTTATGGTTCATTAGAAACAAGTATAAGAGAAGTGGTCTACTCCGCAAGTCTGAGAGGAGAAAAATTCCTGATTAGGAGAAAGATGTGCCAGAAAATGGAAGGATACTTGTGAACCAATTCTGGGAGAAAGAAGAGGAGAAAGCAGTTGGATTAGGACAGACTTCCTGTTAAAGGGAGGTAAACTGAATGGACCAGTTTACCTCCAATCCCTGACAAAATGCCGCTATAATGAAAGTGAAGGGATGAAGTAAAAACTTCAAAAGATGAAGAAAAGGAGGGCAGATGAGGGCAATAAAGTGTTAGAAGCTGAGCAGTAGAGGAATCACACTGACTTAGCAAGTTCAAGAAAGCTGAAACCTAAGCAGCGGTACAGGAAACCGGAAGCAAACCAGTTCTAACCATGAAACCCTGGAAAGCCTCAGACATTGCAGGCATCTGCTATTTCTGAAGTTACACGTTCAGTTGGAACTGAAAATAGCATCAACTGAAAGTCTGTATATATATAAAACAATTAGATTCCAAATTTCCTCCCTTAACCATTCACAACCAGGGATTTGCTACCCATCTTGCCTTCCACCACCCCATGACTAAAAGTTTGTTTCCAAGTGATGTTGAAGGAGAGGATCTGGACTTGGGGACACAAGCTACATGTGAGAGTAACAGTTTACTGGAAAAGGGGATTAAGGGAAAGTTTACATACCGCATGGTGAGATGCTTCCCAGATCCCTTCCCTCAACTCACTCTGAGAACTATAATAGGCTCATATCCTCAAGGTAGGAGTTTGGAGGGTCTCTAAAAACTGCCCAAAAACAGAGACATAGATAACAGTCTTTTTTTTTTTTTTTTGAGACAGAGTCTCACTCTGTCCCCCAGGCTGGAGTGCAGTGACATGATCTCAGTTCACTGCAACCTCTGCCTCCTGAGTTCAAGCAATTCTCCTGTCTCAGCCTCCTGAGTAGCTGGGATTACAGGTGTGTGCCACCATGCCTGGCTAACTTTTGTATTTTTAGTAGAGACGGAGTTTTGCCATGTTGGCCAGGCTGTTCTCCAACTCCTGACTTCAGGTGATCTGCCTGCCTCGGCCTCCCAAAGTGCTGGGATTATAGGTATGAGCCACTGCGCCCAGCTGGGCACAGAGTTTATAATTAGCATTTATTTTCTTTTTATTACCTTCTTTTTTTTTTTTTTGGATACAGGGTCTGACTCTGACCCAGGCTGGAGTGCACTGGTACAATCTTGGCTCACTACAACCTCTGCCTCACAGGCTCAAACCATCCTGCCATCTCAGCCTCCCAAGTAGCTGGACCACAAGTACACACCACCATGCCAGGCTAATTTTTGTATTTTTGAGAGAGACAGGTTTCACCATGTTGCCCAGGCTGATCTGAAACTCCTGGGCTGAAGTGATCTTCCTTCCATGGCCTCCCAAACTTCTGGGATTATATGTGTGAACCACCACACCCAGCCTGCCTTTCTTCAAAAGGACAGCCAGGTACTTGAACCTCCAATGTTGAAAACTGTAGATGAAAACAAACAAGAAATCAAAAAAGAAGTTCAGAGGAACTAGAGACAGTAAAGGATAAGAAAAAAAACCACCATAATATCCTCCAAGTTAAGAGAAGCTATTGGATCCATAAAAGAATAAGAGACTATGAAAAAAAATGAGAATAATAATTTTGGAAATATTAAAGAAAAAACAAATAGTTTACAAGATAAAAATTAAAGTAATACTGCAGATATTAGACGAAAAAGATGGAAAACAGAAGCAAAAATATAAGAAAATGACAACATCACTCTAGGAGTTCCAACTTCAAAATGCTAGAAAATCAGAAAAAGTGACGAGAGAAAATGAAGAAATTAAAGAAAATTGCAAGAAAATTTGTCAGGACTTAAGGACACAAGTTTCCAGATAATAGGGCTTGCTATGACATTCTTTGCTAACCCAGAGGACAAAGAAAAAAATCTAAAAACTTTTGGGGTTGGGAACCGGGAATCAGAATGACAGCGTAATAGTTTTTAACAGTACCATGAAAAGCTAGAAAACAATGGACCTGTACTTTTCAAAATGCTGGCTGGGTGTGGCAGCTCACACCTTTAATCCCAGCACTTTGGGAGACCAAGGTGGGTGGATCACATGAGGTCAGAAGTTTAAGACCAGCCTGGCCAACATGGCGAAACTCCGTAAAATAGGTAAATATGTAAATTGTAAAAATACAAAAATTAGCCAGGCATGGTGGCGGGCACCTGTAATCCCAGCTACTCGGGAGGGTGAAGCAGGGAGAATCGCTTGAACCCGGGAGGCAGAGGTTGCAGTGAGGTGAGATTGCTCCACTGCACTCCAGCCTGGGAGACAGAGCAAGACTCCATCTCAAAACAAACAACAAAACGCCAAAATTCTGCAATAAAGAAATTATATACAGATAAATTAGCAATCTAATGTGATGGCAGAATAAAAACATTTTTGGATATGTATGTCTCCAACAAATTTACCTCCCTTGCCCTCTTCCAGGAAGTTAGCGGAGGATGTGCTCTAGCAAAAAGAGCAAGTGAGCCAAGAAAGGAAGACATGGAATCCAGAAGAAAGGGGATCCAGTAGAGGAGAGAGGTAAAGATAATCCCAGGGTGATGGTGAAGGGAGAGTCCTGGATGAGAGCTGTGAAGCAGCCTAGAGGATAACCCAGAGTGTACGACAGAGGGAGATCTCCACGGAGGTGTCTCCAAGAAGATAAAATGAGAGTTTACATGATACTCTAAGAGCATTTCTACTTTTACGAAGAATTGGAGATGAATCAATGACAGACACACAGAAAACCTAACAAAGTTTTAAAAAATAAATTCTAGAGAAAACAAAAGGTTGTATAAGAAATGAAATTTAATCATAATATACTAATGTCTCATCACTGAAATGCATAATGGAAATAATATTAAACTAAATAAATTTTATTACTATATTGTGAGAATGAGGAAAGAAGAAAGATGTGTATGTGTTCAACATATACGTGGGTGTAAGAAAGCTAAATTCTAAATCTCAAATTTCAAGGCTGGGTGTGGTGGCTCCTGCCTGTAATCCCAGTACTTTGGGAGGCTGAGGGAGGTGGATCACCTGAGGTCAGGATTTCAAGACCAGCCTGGCCAACATGATGAAACCCCCATCTCTACTAAAATACAAAAATTAGCCAGGTGTGGTGGCAGGTGCCTGTAATCCCAGCTACTCAGGAG